CTCTGTGCCGCCGCCCGCACCCGACCGCCCGCTGTTTCCGCCGCCTCGACGATCTTTTTCGTCGTCGCTTTGGCCCGGCCCCGGACCTCCCTGACTGGCACAGCCTGCTCCGCCAGGGCGTGCCGATCTTTGAGTTAGACATGGATCAGATAGGTGCTGCTTTGCATGCTTTGTATGCTGACGCTTCTAGTGTTGATGGATCTTACTACCCTGTGTACTCTAGTTTAGGTGTTTCACCCTTGTGTAGCTTAGCTTCCCCTGCTGCGACAGGCGTAGGACTGCCTAGGTTGCCTAGTCTAGTCGCTGCACCGGCTCCGTCCCCGGCCCCCGCCACTGCGTCGCTGTCCTTCACTCTCGACTCTGGTGCTTCTGCCTGCTTCTTCCGCGACCGTTCCACGCTCACGCCGCTTGCTGCACCTGCTGTTGTCTCTCTCGCTGACCCCTCTGCGGGTCCGGTCGTCGCGCGCAGTTCTACGTCCCTTCCCTGTCCGGCAGTTCCCTCGGGCTCCCTTACTGGCCTCCACGTTCCCTCGTTCTCCAGGAACCTGGTTGGTGTCGGCTGTCTCCAGGACCTCGGCGTCACCACCACGTTCCCCGGGCACGAGCGGTTCGCTGTCTGTTCTGAGGCTGTCTCAGGTTCCCCCCTTGCGACGTTCCCCCGGGACCCGGTGTCCGGTCTGTTTACCCTACACACCGCTTCCCCCCCGGTTGGTGCGTCCTCCCAGGTCGCTGCAGCTTGCTCGTGTCGGTCCCTCACTCACCCCTCCCTTCTCTGGCACCACCGCTTAGGTCACCCTGCTCTCCCGCGTCTGCGTCACATGTCCCAGCACGGTCTTGTCTTAGGTCTCCCCGCGTCGCTCCCTGCCCTTCCTCCCTCGACTGCGCCACCGTGCACGCCTTGCGTCGAGGGTCGGCTCCGCCGTGCTCCTCACTCCTCCTCGCTGCGTCCTGCTACTGCCCCCCTTCAGACCCTGCACTTGGACGTTTGGGGCCCTGCCCCCGTCCCTGGACCGCGCGGTGAGCGCTACTTCCTTGTGCTTGTCGACGACTACACGCGCTACACCACGGTGTTTCCCCTGGAGCGGAAGGCCGACGTGCCCGACGTTCTTCTCCCGTGGGTTGTGGCTGCGCGTCTCCACCGCGGTCTCCCCGTGTTGTGTCTCCACTCCGACCGTGGCGGCGAGTTCGCCTCTGGTCGGCTTGGACAGTTCTGTCGTGCGGAGGGCATCACCCAGTCGTACACGTTGCCGGACTCGCCACAGCAGAATGGGGTTGCTGAGCGCCGCATCGGCTTGGTCATGGAGGTCGCCCGTACCTCCATGATCCATGCCGATGCCCCCCATTTTCTGTGGCCGTTCGCTGTTCGCTACGCGGCTCACCAGCTTAACCTGTGGCCACGCTCCCAGCGGCCGCAGGTTTCGCCGACCCTCCTTTGGACCGGGTCCCCCGGTGACGCGTCTGCGTTCCACGTCTGGGGCTGCCTTGCTCACGTTCGTGCCTCTGGCACGGACAAGCTCACTGCCCGCACTGTCCCCTGTGTCTTCCTCGGTTTCCCCCTGGACTCGTCTGACTGGCTTTTCTACCACCCGCCGTCTCACCGCTTCCTCCACTCTCGTGACGTCACCTTTGATGAGTCCGTCTCCTTCTACCGCCGCTTCCCTCACCGAGGTCTCCCAGTTGCCCCCCCCCTTTTCCTTGCTCCCTCTCCCCCGGTAGCCCCTGCCCCTCTCCCGCCTCGTCCTGCCCCGTCTGGTGTCTCCCACGTCACTCCCCTCCCGTCGGTTGTCCCCGTTGAGGAGTCTGCTGACTCTGGTGGTACCCCCGGTCCGTCCTTGCCGCGTCCCCCTTCCCCGGTGCCTCCGCCCCCACTGTCGCAGTCGCCGACCCCGCTGCCGCCGCCGTCGCCGTCGCCGCCGCAGCCGTCGCCGCTTTCGTCGCCGCCGCCGCCGCTGTCGCTGCCGCAGCCGTCGCCGCTGTCGCCGCCGCCGCAGCCGTTGCCGCCACTGCCGCCGCTGCTCTCGGCCCCTGGGGGTGCCGCTGGTGTTGGAGGGGGTTCTCGCTCTGGGGGTGTTGGTTCTGGGGGTGCTGCTGTTGAGTGTTCTGCCGACGGTCGTTCTGCCTCTGCTGGTCCGAGAGTTCCGGCCCAGCCGTCGTCGCCGCCGCAGCAGCCGTCGCCGCCGGTTTCCGCTCTCCGCCTGCTCGGCCTTCCCTCCCCGGACCGCGCGCCGGTGTCTCCCCCACCGCCTCCTGACCTCCCTGTCTACGGTCCTGTGTTCCCGCCGCCAGACTCGTCTCCGGCCCGTCTTCCTCCTCGTTCCCCTCCTGTGTCTCCTCCGCTGTCCCCTGACCCTACCCCTCCGTCTCACGTTTGGGCTCGCCGTCCCTCCCGTGCTCGTCCCGTCTCTCCTGTCCTGCCCACCCACCCTATGTTGCTCCGTTCCCACTCGTCTCGTCCTCCCCTCCTCCCGTCCCCTCCTCCCTCGTCCCTTGCTGTTGCACCTCCTCCGTTCTCTGACTACCTCCGTGCTGCTCGTCCCCTTGTCCCTCGGGTCCTTGCCTCTCTTGTTACCGACCCTGCTGTTCCTGTCTCGCGCCTTGACGCGCTTGTCGCTGCTGTCGCTGACTTCGCTTCTACCCGCCGCCTTGACTACGCTACCGCTCTGGTCTCTGACCCTGCCCGTCCTCTGTCCGTCGGGGGTGCTCCTGCCCTTGGCAGTGACGTCCTAGAGGACAGGCAGTACGAGCTGGCTTTCCTTTCCGAGGCTGCTCCCCATCTCTGCTCCATGCTAGTCCCTGAGGGTGACCCAGACGCCTTCGACATCCCGACCCCTCGCACCTACGCTGAGGCCACCTCGGGACCTTGGGCCTCTCAGTGGATAGCTGCCATGGAGCAGGAGATGGCATCTTGGAGATCCACCGGCACTTACGTCGACGCAGTTCCCCCGCCTGGGGTGAACGTAGTCGATGGTCGGTGGCTCTTCAAGGTGAAGCGCCCCCCTGGAGAGCCGCCTGTCTTCAAGGCGCGCTACGTGGCCAGAGGTTTCAGTCAGCGCGAGGGGGTTGACTTCTTCCAGACCTTCGCCCCGACCCCGAAGATGACCACTCTTCGGGCGCTGCTACACGTAGCAGCACAGCGTGACTACGAGCTTCACTCCCTCGACTTCTCTACTGCCTTTCTTCAGGGCAGCCTACACGAGC